GGCTTTTGCCCATGTTTTGGCACTGTCACTGGAGGAGAGGAATAGTATTTAGTGATGTGTTTTATTTGCAACTGTTGGTCTATCTCCAAGTTTGTCCTTTAATTTTTGATAAAGTGCTGGGATATTAGATTGGACCCTGGCAGGCGATGTCGTCCTCTATGAGCACTGCTTCTTATCAGCAGTGGCTTGTTGTGTACAAATAAGACCTTTTTACTTTTTCTTCTCACCTGGTTAACTTGAGTGTATACAGAAATCCTTATACAGCAATCTTTGTTACGTTATCACCCAACAAGGTAAATGGGATGAATCATTAAGTGATGTTTTTCAATGGTTTTGGAATCCTTACCTGAAAGAGTTAACTTCTGTTCCTATTTTTAGGAAATCGTATCATTATGGGTAAAAATCATGTCTTCAGATTCAACCATCCAGAGCAAGCACGAGCAGAAAGAGAGAAAACACCGTCAGCTGAAACTCCCTCTGAGCCAGTTGACTGGACATTTGCTCAGAGGGAGCTTTTGGAGAAGCAGGGCATTGATATGAAGCAGGAGATGGAGAAAAGGTAACAAAATAACTCAGAACTTCTACCTGAAACAAGGAGGAGTCAGCCTTAGGTTATTTGGGTGGTGTCTGTGCAAAACCTGAAGCTAGATTCTACCACATAGCATCTCTGCTACCTATTGTGAAGGTTCAGAAAGCTTCCTTGTTATTTCACTTCAGTGTTTCAGTGCTCTAACTCCTTTAAAAATCATGGGTAGGCACCTGCCACTAACCCTATAGAACTTTTGGTGAAGGACTGAGCTGCAGCTTATAGGGAGTTTCATTTCTATAGTACTGTAATAGACAAATAACAGTTCCCTTTAAGTGGAATGACTTTTAGTCTTGTAACTGTAATTCAGTGGGCTGTGCATGTAGAGTAACACCAACATGAAAGTAATGATCTCTTTGACTCCTTCTGTTCTTTTGTTCATCTTCAGGTTACAAGAAATGGAGATTTTGTATAAGAAAGAGAAGGAGGAAGCTGATCTCTTGTTGGAGCAGCAAAGGCTGGTATGTGTCCTTACTTCAGATTAACTATACTTTTGGCAAACAGTAATTCCTGTCCTTGCTTATCTGAAAGTTTAGGAAACCTGCTTAGGTGGTCTGCACAATGCAGTTCTCCCTTTGCTTTCAAATACTTTGTGCCTCCAGTGAATTATTACCAGTGTGAGCGAGCTCCTTCATGTTAATTCAGAGATTGTAGTTGACAGTGAAGAAGCTTTAATCAGTTCTTGTTGGGACGGGTTGGATTTCTTGCCACTTAACCTGAAAGAAGGGCATTTCTATGCTCTCTGGTTTTTGAAGTTCTTTTTCAGTAGTCTAAACAGCTACTTCTTGGGATGTGTGCCTTTATTTTTGTCTTGGATCACCAGAACATACTAATTTTCTACTGCCAAAGAGATTGGTAGAACATTGATATGCTAGGTTTATTTTTTTTAAGTGATGTCTGAAAATGTTGCTGCATTGTGCATGTTTTAACCCTTCTCCCTCCCCCTGCATGGAGTTCTTTGTAAGGGTCCTAATGGTACACATGCTGATGGTGGAGTTATGACTAGGGAGCAGTGTGCAAAGGGAATGTTACCTCATTCAGAATGATGGGAATTCCACCATTCCGCCTATTTCTTAAATAGAAAGTCTGATAAATTAAGTCTGATACAGGAAGACTTCAGTCTTCTCACAACAAGTATCTTTTGAAGTGCATTACAAATAGAAATACATGTAGTCTTCAAGCAGCCTGTGAATTTTAAAAACAAGAGCAAGCCCAGGAATGAAATCTAGATTTCCTTAAACCTGAGTCTCCTGATTTTGCTATAACTACATTGGGTTGTCTTTTAGCCCGCATGCAAATGTAGTTGTGCCTGAATTCTAATAAATATTCCAAAGTCATGATTCATTTGTTTGTAATACTAGTTTGAGACCACTGAAAACTGTGGGTTAAATGCATGCTGGGCTTTAAACTGTAAAGCTCTTCCCCTTCTCCCAAAGCCAGAATGGAGCAAAGTACTGTGGCTTCCATAGGTAGAAGCTACATAGTTTTTTTTAAAATTTATATTATACACTTAAAGATTTCTGCATCTCTAATTATTTCATTGTAAGGGACTCATTTCTTGGATGGAGAGGAGTGGCTGCAGACTTTGAACCAAAGCAACACTTAGTTCAGAAAGGAAGTTAAGATGCAACTAATGTAATGTTTCAGTTCTGCAATTTTATAGTTATAATTTGTGTAGCTGAAAGTAGTACAGCAAAAATCAGTTCAACGTGAAAATAAAAAAAGTTTGAGTATCGAGTGAATTTTGGCTATGTGCCAAAGGAGATGCAAGTAATGGAATTCCCTTCCTTAAATTCTGGCTGACGGGCATAAGCTAGGCTATTGCGTGAATTAAAAGATGTGAGAACTGGCTGTCTAGGGAGCTGCTCCAAATAAGGCTGTGTTTATAAAAAGCGTTGTGAAGGGAATTTGTTTCCCCATGTGCTTAAGATTAAGGGAAGGTTCTTTAGATACTGGGCTGTTTAATACTGTTGTAACATTGCTGATTTCTTTAAGCTTGTTCTGGTTTCGCTGATTTCAATTAGTGGACAAAGATGGAAGACTATCCTATATGCATTACCATTGTAACTCCTGAAGGACACCTTTCCTAGTTGTAAGGGATCATATCAAATGAGATCGTCGGTTTGTTAAGCAGTATCCTGCTTATTGCAATGCTCAATAAGAATATTTTAGATGACAGCAAAGCTTCTTGACACATCTTGATATTTCTGTGTCACTGCATGCATACAACAGTAGTTGAATAATGATTGGGAAATCTGGGAACGCATTTCAGCTTGTGTACCTTAAAAATACTTACATTGCTGTGATATCCAGCTGCAATATCAGGTTCTCTAACTTACTGCTATGTAAGACTGATATTGAAATAGAAATACTATTCTTATTCTAAATTGGAGTATAATCTTGGATATAAGAAGCTGGCTAATCATGTTTACCAGATTGTTTTGGTTTTGTGCTGAGATTCCAACCAATTTGGGTATTTGTTAGATATGCTATACAAAAAAAGATAAATAATAGCTCTTGTCCCCCCAAATTTACAACTAATTTGCCTTGCTAGTATTACTAGGGAAGAGAAATAATCATTCTCCCTTTCACAAATTGAATGTGAAAATGTGTTTAATAGAGCTGAAATCATCATCCTGGTTTTGTTGGTCATAATGCCTTTGCAGTGACCACTTGAGAGAGAGAGAGAGATGGGTATATACCTATATTAATTGCTCTGGTTAACCGCTGAGTGCACATAGGGCAATGACCACATAGTATCTGTTAATCAGCTTTTTATACGCAAGACATACTTTACCCATAAGTAGTAATATGGTAATTTTGTAACCTGTAAGAATAATCCTGTGGAATTTGTGACTTAATGTTTGAGTAGTTCGTGTTTTGCCTTTCTGGACGTAACTTTGAATGTGTAGATTGTACAGCGTTTTCCTCCAGGGCATCTTTTGTTTCCACTGCAATATGCAGTTTGTTAGATGCTGTTTCCTTAGGCTACAAATTTTATCGCCTGTAAACACACAAAGAGTTTATCTTCTGTTTCTAAAGTAGGAGAAGTTGATTCGCTAGTGCTGTTCTTAAATATTGAAAATACATAAAGTCACAAGAAGCTCAAATAATGTGAATATTAGGCTATGGAGCTTATTGACCATAGGGCAGAACAGTATTTCTTTTACTTGCTCTCATCATTCCCCAAACAAATTATATTGTATTCCCCATTCTTCGTGGTCTTCTACCCGAAGTCTTAAGTCTAAGAACCTGTGGTTCTGAGTCAATGACCTGAGTTTCGTTTGGTTTTAGAGTAACTGGCTGTTATTATTCTTGATATCTCATGTATTATAATTCTCTATGTGAAAAATAGGGATATTAGATACAGGTTCATTAGAGACTAACTGCTGTGTTTTATTGGAGATGTTTGGATCACAATAATAGATGAGACTTTTTGTTTGTTAAAGAGATGTCTTAGCTTAATAATCCTTTAGAGAAAAGTAGTCTGACTTTAATTCCTGGTTGCAGTATGCAATAATGGATATCTGTAACTTCTGGTGACAGTATACTTGAACAAACATTCCTAGCCTATGGAAACCTGAAGCACTGCTCATTAAAAATCATTTAGCAAAAGGTGGAAAACTTGTAATGAAGAAACAAAACACGCATAACTCTTAGGAAGTGTATGGAAGCTCCAGGCTCTAGGGTTTGAGAAGAGGACAAATCAAGGATATCAAATAGAGAATTTTATTAAAACAATTTAAAAAAAAAAAAGGTCATTGGTGCTACATTCTTCTGAAACTCATTCTTCGAACAGACAAGACTGTTAATTTTTTTTTTTTTTCTTTAAACTAAGCAACAAGGTGACAAATGGGAAAAAAAAACCCAAACCACAACCCACCTCTGAAACTCTGATTCTGGATATTCTTTTAGCTTGTAGCAAGTCTTGGAGTATGAACCACTGTCTTCACCTGTCATAGTGGCACTTACAGTCCTTTTAACATTGAACCTTTCGGCTGCTTCTGTTTCATTTTTTTCTTATCGTCTAACACTTCTCTGGCTGCTATTGTAGTGAAGTGGATTCTAAACTTGAGCATCCCTGCAACCACGTGCAACGTTACTAACCAGTGTTAACCCGACTTACTCTGGCTGCTCATGACATCTTCTATGATGGCTGTTGTGTTCACCTACCTGGGGAGGAATTGCTGAAAGAAGCAACAGCAGTCGCCAAGGCAAATGTGTGTGGCGGGAATTTGCATGTCTTTGTAGCATGTGTGAAGTGCAGTTTACACTTGGTTTTTATTTTTTTAATCAGGATCTTGGTTTTAGTTGATCTATTTAAAGATTTTTGGAAGGGATTGGGAGGGAAGAGTTTAGATTATCTGCTATTGTGAGATGACAAGACTTCTAAATTTAATGTTAATCTTAATTTAGCGAAGAGCTCCAATTTTGACAGTCCATGACTCTTGAAGGTACATTTTTAATGACCTAACACTCAGTCTTCAGGGACTTCCTTATCACTTGTTCTGTTTTGATTTTTTGATTTAGTTTTCTTTGCCTGCTACTTCTTGTTTAGCTTTTCCATTTTCTTACAATTTTAATTTTGGTTATTTTGGGGCCACTTCTTGATTTTTGTTTTTCCAAAGGATGCAGACTCTGATAGTGGGGATGATTCGGACAAGAGATCGTGTGAGGAGAGTTGGAGACTGATCACTTCCCTGAGAGAGAAGCTGCCCCCCAGCAAGCTCCAAACCATTGTAAAAAAGTGTGGCCTCCCCAGCAGTGGGAAGAAACGAGAGCCTATTAAAATGTACCAGATACCCCAACGTCGACGCCTTAGCAAAGACTCCAAATGGGTTACCATCTCAGACCTAAAGATTCAGGCTGTGAAAGAGATATGCTATGAGGTAGCACTCAATGACTTCAGGCACACTAGGCAGGAGATTGAGGCTCTGGCCATTGTTAAAATGAAAGAGCTTTGTGCCATGTATGGGAAAAAAGATCCAAATGAGCGTGAATCATGGCGAGCTGTTGCTCGTGACGTCTGGGATACGGTAGGAGTAGGAGATGAGAAAATTGAAGATGTTATGGCCAATGGTAAAGGAGTAACTGATGTGGATGACCTTAAGGTGCACATAGACAAATTGGAAGATATTTTGCAAGAAGTGAAGAAGCAGAACAACATGAAGGATGAAGAGATAAAAGTTCTTAGAAATAAGATGCTGAAAATGGAGAAGGTTTTGCCTCTGATAGGGTCTCCAGAGAAAGCTCAGTCAACCATAGCTAATGCTAAGTCTCCAAACTCTGCCGGTGTGGTGGATGTGGATAAGAAACCCACGGATGACTCCAAAAGAAGTGAGAACGATGATCTTGCTAAAGAGGAGCGTGTTTCTCAGTTAATGGCAGGTGATCCAGCTTTCAGACGTGGGCGATTACGTTGGATGAGGCAAGAACAGATTCGATTTAAAAATCTGCAGCA